AGGCAATTTGGACAACAGGGTCGCCTTCCATGCTACCCTGAAAATATTTCTGGTCAAGAACTTATAGGTAAGAAAAAAGAGGACAGCTAACTTGAAATTCCGAGTGCCGCTTGAACTGCATTGGGCGCTGGGAAGCAGGCAGATGTCTATTAATAGGATCTAAGTCCGATTTATGAATCAAACCTTCACCTGGAATTGAAACAAATTGAACAAAACTATGCACTTGAAGGAAATTAAGAAGACATACGGACGAGAAGCAGGATTATATACACGGCGTTGCTCCATAAATGATGTCCGAATTCCCGAGGATTTACCGGATAAAGATCGGTCGAATTCGGTACGGCACGTTCGCGTTCCATGTAGCACTCGTCCACGCAATAACATTCAGGAACCAGCATCCCACCAGTCACTATAGAATTCAGAAATTTGAGTGATTTTATCAAAAAATGCCAAAGGATGAATAAAGGGTACCATCTTCATCGTTAACAAGCAGACCCTGAAGTTTATCGAAATATTTATCAGCATACGCTTGATCTCCACGGAAGTATGCTGCAAAAAAGCTTGATGTTGAAGTAGAAAAGAATCTTTTCCACAAGCAAAAGGAAAACCAAGAAAGTCGAGTGCGAAGCAAAAGGAGCGTTAGGAAGAAATGCTTATTAAAAGATCGCAAGTGCTCTAAACTGGTTGTTGGTCGCCAGCGAGAGTTGAGAAACTATTAGTTGAGTCATAAGTAACGTCCACCTTTTGCAAACCTATGCTGTTCTCAACAACAAAAAATGTTTATGGTGTTCTCGTCAATGTGTTGTGTGGAGACCTGATGGTCTTTCATATTGCGAGACAGGATTACTGTACTTATCTCTAAAGAGCATTGAAGCCCTCCGCCTCGAGACATTTTCACAGCTGCTGACTTTCCAGGTCCCTCCTAAGAAACTAAACGAGAGGAGCCTGCCAGGAGAAGCGTAGCATAAAGAACCAGATACGGTGAACAAGAAGGGCATGTGATGGGCTCCTGAAATTTCGAGGTCAACTACAGCGTTTAAGCCCGAGCAAACTAATTGGGGCTCCAGTTGCTTCTTGCAGTCGCTTTACCAGCTGTGGATTTGCAGTAGACAAGCAGTGCCAAAGACTCCATCGTTCGAGCCTTACAAGCTATCGAGAAACTGCACCATCTGGAGCAACCCATTCAGCGGGGTGAGTGCGGACACGAATGAATATCTGACAAACTTTGCTTTCCTGATATCGAGGTTTCAGGGGTCTGTCAAGAGGTCAAGGGACATGAGAAAGGCGCAATGATGTCAGCCAGAACAGAGTCTCAACTGGATGGACGCGGTTTGGCAGCTTAAGCGAGCTTCGAAGACGACGTTCACCCAAAGGAGATCTGCACCGTTCCTTGCAGTGTCTCACCACAGACATTAGATAACCAGTTGGCGCCGCACGCATTGCGCGCGCAACACAGATCTGCGGCGAATTTTGATGGTGCGACGAAAATTTTCAAATTTGGCTTGATACACACGAATATCTGAATTCTCAGCTAAATTCTATCCGCTCCATCATCGACGGCTTTAACCTGCTTCAATAAATCTCGTGGCAAACTCCGCCTACTTCGGTGCGTGCCCCGCCCACCAATAGCATTTGACCCCCTTCCTTTCGCCGACCTCTACCCTTTTTTCACCGGTTCTCTGGGACCTCTTGGAACCAAATTACGACACTTTTGGCAATACGGAGGTCCACCTCGGTTGGCCCGGTGCTTTTCACTCCGACCAGACTCCTCTCGTCTCGCCCTATCGCTATTGATCTCGCATGCTGAATAAGTGCCAAATTGGCAACTCCGCCCACTTGAGGTGCGTGCTCCGCCCACTAATAGCAGTTGACCTCTTTTCCCTCGCCAACCTCTAACCCCGTTTTCCCCTATCTCTAGGACTTCTTAGGAACCGAATTGCGACACTTTTGGCAAACTCCGCCCACAAGTGCGTGCTCCGCCCACTAATGGCAGTTGACCTCCTTTCTTCGCCGACTCTTAGTCCTTTTCACGGCGAATTCGAGGACTTCTTGGGGCCGAGTTATGAATTTTCGTCGCAAACTCCGCCCACTTTGGTCATGTCCCTCCCACCATTGACAGCTGGCCTCCACTCCTCCACCCCCTCCATCCACCTTTTCCGCGGCCTCAGGGACTTCTTGAAGCCTCCCCCACCTCCATCCCCCTTTTTCCCGGCCTCCGGGACTTCTTGGAGCCGAGTTATGAATTTTCGTCGCAAACTCCGCCCACTTTGGTCAAGCCCCGCCCACCATTGACAGCTGGCCTCCACTCCTCCACCCACCTCCATCCACCTTTTCCGGCCTCCGGGACTTCTTGGAGCCAAGTTATGAATTTTCGTCGCAAACTCCGCCCACTTTGGTCAAGCCCCGCCCACCATTGACAGCTGGCCTCCACTCCTCCATACACCTCTATCCACCTTTTTCCGGCTCTTTAAGACTTCCCCGACCCGAATTATGAGGGCTTGTAGAAAATGCTGTACACTTCAGAGCGCGCCCCGCCCATTCTGGGCGGGCCTCCGCCCACGTCATGTATGCAGGAAACACCTTAGACATTGCTCCCTTACACCAAATTGTTTTCTGCTCTGTAGGCTTTCTCCCAACCGAGTTATGAAATTTTTCATAAAGCACTGCTTTTTTGGAGAACGCCCCGCCCACCGGGGGTGGGTCTCCTAATTCGATGTGACTTACCAATGCACACCTTTACCCACTTTTTGGCCCAGTTTCGAGGTCGTTTTGTCACTGAAATCGAAATCTTGGTCTTCAGTTCATTTCGACGCACGCCACGCCCTCTGTGGGCGGGGCTCCGCTTAGCTGATGTGTGTTTTGTATTACGTGAGACCTTGCCCACCCATTCCACACTTGACCCGGTCCCTCCAGGCGGATCCCGAGGAGCTAGGGAATTTCGTGACAGACACACAGACGACAGACAGACGACAGACGAAGCGCTTTATAGTTAGTAGGATGAGACTACTGCCAGTTCAGACTTCCACTGTTTGCAGATGTGTGGACGGTGCGGATCTCGCAATGTTGCGGCTCCTTGTAGATGAAACTGTTCCACCTAATGAGAACTCTCAACCACATGTCGGAAGCCAAAGTCAGAATACTATACAGGAACTAAGGCTTTCTGATTTCCGCCCATCTATCACATTCATATGACCTCATAGGAACCGACAACCACTTGTCCACAACTCGGCTGAACTTCTGAAGAGAAAGAGCCACGATGATAGTGAACACCTCAAGGCGGGTCTCGTTCTCTGCGTACGTGATTGCACAACTTCGAAAGAAGAATCCGCTCCTATGAGGGTCATAGAGGACAGTTGTTATAATTACGGAATGGGATACCCGTGGCTTTAGGAAAAGTTGGAAAGTTAGAATATTGGTATCGAAAGCGAAAATTATTAGTTTGAGCAAAAATTATCCGCCGTTTTCATTTCACTCATAAGTTTATTAACAAAACCAAACAAAAACAACAATAAATGCGTAATCAACAAACGCTCTCGAACAGTCCTCTCTGCAACCGTGCCTTCATCCCAGGCTTCATTGATTCTACGAGCAGATGCAGAAGCATTCGGTTTCGAGCTCAACTTGCACTCATGTAGCAGGACAAACTTTTTTGCTATTGTGTAAGCTCCAGTGAAGCAAATACAAGTGTTGTACATAAAAATGTACGCTTTCAGACTACATCATAACCTTTGAAAATAATCAGCAAAAATCAAAGAACCATGAGCCTGAAAAAACGGCGGGTAATTTCTTGCTCAACCTAATACTTATGACTGAAGCTGATATTAATGGATTGGCGGCAGAAAAACACCAAAATGAACAGTCCGTAACTCGCAATGTGGATTCTAATCGGACTTGCTGGCTGCATGAATATGATTAACACCTTGGAGCCCATGCAGCCCATATGTGGGCTGCAGTCCGTCAACCGCTTAGGACCTTTCAGCCCACATTTCGGAAACAAATATTAGTTTTTCTTTCATTTTCTTTTCCATCGCATTCGATAAGGTTTCTTCTGCATCATGCAGTAGGTTTTTCTTCCAATTTGCTTGATAATTCCTAAAAATTTCGCTGAAGTGCCACGCGGCCACAAACGTAGAACTGCGCGGTCTCCAACGTGTCAGATCTGCTCGCATCAGGCCAAAGTCGGTTGCGAGACAACAGCAATGAGCGGCACTGTGCACTACACTGTCTCACTGTCGCAAGGGAGGGCTCGTTAAAATGGATAATGCAGTCCTCTTCGTTCAGCGCTTTATCACGCAAAACACGCCTCTCTTCGCTCGCTAGTTAAACTTTTACTGGCTTAAAACACTTGCCTAATACTATGTATATTTCTACCATATGCACAGTAAAGTTATCGTACGCTCCACCCTCTTGAGGACAGCCGGACCCAAGAGTGGGTCAACACCGAGCAAGAATGAAGAGATGCGCGATACCTCTTCGATGCACTTTAAATTTATGCATTTTCCATAAAATACCTGTTAGGCTCATATAAGCGAAGAACATGGGGAACTGGCTTTCGACACCATGAAAATGCGATGTCTTCGTGCTCCTCGTAATAAATCCGTGTGTTATCTTCTAACTCGCAATGGTATCCATCTCGTAGAAATCTGAACATAGATCTCTTTGCAAATTAAACAAAAGCATGACCACTGGGGTGCAAAATTTGTAGGCATAGGTCGGTATCGAATTTTATTTATTTATTCATTCAATACGCTATGTAAGACAGCGTGAGATAGAATGGTTTTCCTGCCCACTAACGAACTGTTCAGAAATCAGGCAAGAAGCGTAATAAGGCACGTTAGCGGGGAGGGAACCAGAAAAAAGGCGGCCATCTTTGACCTTATTTTTTGAATTATGCGAATTCGAGGGGACTTTGTGTAGAACTTTCGGCCCTTAGCAACTAACTGAGTCACCAGTAGGGAAATTTGGCTCACGTGCGCTGGATTTGACTCGGAATTTGATCCAGGGACTATGTGCGCGACATGTGTCACCATACCGTCTCCGCTCGAATGAGAATTTTTCTAGTATCAATTGGTATTTAAATAGCATTTGAAAATACACATTTTTCACCGTGAGAGCAAACCAAGGTCGGTGAACCACACTTGGGGAGAATTGCAAGCCCAACCCTGAAAAGATGCTGGGGGTTACACCGGCTGCTTCTGCTCATCAGGAGAATTTCCGTCAAGTCTACTGCTTCAGGACCTGTGCCGTCATGAAAGCCCTTTAATACCACTTCCGCATTACAATCTTGGAATTTGGAAGCTCCAACACTGTCGTATAGCGCCGCGTTGCTCCCTGTCTTGTTTTTGATTGATAAAATGACCTCGTCGTCATTGGTCTGTTTGCTCGTGTTGCACTGATGCAGAAATTCAGGGAGATTTAACGACGCAGACCATAAACAAAAGATTTGTGAGTAAACAGAATGAAAACTACTTTTTGGGAGCTGCGCACACTGACTAGTGACTAAGTGGCGCGGTTGGCTTACAGAGGGTCGCTCGCTTTGACTTCTAAGGCTGCTGGGTCGGAGTCCGCGATCCGTCGCAGATTTCGCTGATTTGCACGATTTTCGCGATTTGCGCAATTCACGCGACGGGTCACAGAAATCACAAGTGCCCGATCAAAACTCGCGAAAAGCAGCAAAACCTGCGACGGGGCGCGGACTCTGACACCAGCCTAACGATTTTCTGACCAATTAGGAATTATAAAGTTTCTAAGCGTGCACAATTGCGTCGCGAGCGTATGTCTCAATAAATCCAAAACTGTGGTAGTGCCGCTGACTACGGAAGTGGTACACATGTCCACCAATAGTGGTCAGAGGATTCAAAAGCTGCAATTTCCATCTAGATGTCAGGGTGGTAAGAGAGAGGGGGACTGCTCTGCCAGCAGAGAGAAAGCGCGAGTGAGCACGTCGTACGTAAGCGGCAATCACCATGTATGCCGCGATTGAGAAGGATGGGAGGCGGCCGTAGGGCGCGGTTTACCACAGCAGCTTTGCCGTTGGGATGCATGAACCGTCCCAAGAAACCCATAACATAATAGTAGCTTAAAGATCTATGGGACCATAATACCCAGAGAACCGAAGATGCTACCCGTTCACCTAGTCACTACATGCCGGTGGCAAACTAGAAGTGAATCACTTGCTTGGAAAACACGGGTGGGGCACGCTCCGTAAGCGGGACCTGCCACAAAAGTTATAAATCGCTTCAGAAACCGTCCAGAGATCGAGAAAAATGGACAGAGGTCAGCAAAGAAAACGCGGTCGGCTGCTATTGGTGGGCAGGTCGTGATCAAAGTAGGCGTAGCTTACATCAAAAGTTTTGAAGCGGTTCAGAGATGGATCAGAGAAGAGAAAGAGTGAGTAGAAGTTGGCGAAAGAGGAAAGGTCAAAAATCGTTGGGGGAGAAAGCTGTATGAAGGCTGGTGAGGAAGAAAAGGCCAATGCTATCAGTAGCGAGACGTGCACCGATATGAGCGAATTCACTTCCCAACTTATAAATTCGGTTTAAGTTCCGGAGACAGTGCACAGACCGGGAAAAAAAAACGGGGGAAACGGTTGATTTTGGAAAAAAAAATCAAACGAGAAAAGAGGATCGAAAGAGGGTCGATGGGCGGGCATGCATCGCTAGGTTTGCCGGTGAGCGCCATAATTTAGTTTCAAGATGCCCCTTATCAGAGAAAAAAATGTGTAGAAGCCAGGCGGCGGAGGGATATCAAATGCTACTAGGGTATCAAGTGTTCGATACGAAAACCCACTATTGCATTTGAGGTACCAGAGTTGTTTGCAACGTCTGAAAGAGAACACTGATAGCTGCAAAGAGCAAGCGCACAGCTACGCTTGAGCAACAGGATCAAGAAATCGGTAACATGGATAGACGGTGTGATTAAGGGAATATGGATGGTGAAGAATAAACTGCACCTTCGAACACCAAATTTCCCCTCGAGCCGACGTACACACTTCTGCACAGTTTTCTCGATAATTTGCTCATTATGGGAAGCAAACGCAGGCCATCCCACAGTCATAAGTAGTGCAGCATCCGTATTCTGAACAAAACTGAAGGCACATTTTCCACTTGCGTCAATCTGTTGACTGACTTAACGTCACATAGATCATGAATGTTACTGTTATCACAATGAAATTAGTTGAAAACTTCAAATCAAAGAGGTGTTCAAGTTGAGGGTTATATATTCGCACAAAAAATTTACCTTTGAGTTACTTTCCCGCGGTAAAATTGTTTCGAATGTCGTTCTATTTCTATTGTGACCATCAATGTCCACGTATATTACAGAAGCACTGTGGCCGGAGGCTCCAAAGACGTTAAAACCGTTGATTGCTTCGAGAGCGGCCTGCAATGGATGAAATTGTGGGCGAACAGAAAGACACTCACAATTTCTTGAAGAAGCTATGTAAACATTTACTTTGCTAACATTGATTGGAGCTTTGGAGTCATATCATGCGTGGCCATGCCTGAGCATAACATGTGTTAATTTATAGCTCGAAAAAACTAAAGGTCAAATCGTCTCTGATTTCTCCTTGTAGAGTGAAATGGGATTTCTGCGGTCATTTATTTATTTTTTCCTTTTCTGCTCTCTTGCCCTCTCTTATGCTGATATATTGTAAAGCCGTTTCGAAGGAAAACCCGCAAAACCCTATTGTGAATTTTTTCTGTACGGTGTACACTGTAAAGGTCAATTATACTAGAAAGCAATGAACACTGCCTAAAATTTGCCACACTTATGAAAGTGCTACAAATTAGAAAGTATTTCAGAGAGAAAAACTATCCACATTTGTTCACAAATGATTCGTTACTTCAGAGAGAAAATGGAAGACAGATCAATACTCTTTTTGTCACTACAAGCGAATTGCTTGACAAAAACAGACCTTCACCATACCCAAGCTGCTGGCATGAAGCTCAGGTTTGCCATTGTTGTAACGAGTACCTCGTTCCCACATACCAAAATCAGGTGTACGGTAAGTCCGCTCGATGTAGAACACCAGATTTTGCACAAAATTTACCTCGTGATGAGTGTAGATAATCTTGAATATATGAAATCAACATCACACTGCAGGTACAGCAATTAATAGCCATGGGTCAAACTTGAGTCATTGAAAAGAATAAAACTACAAGAAGGGCAAGCAGGCAAGCAAGGCCCTCACTGCTTACAGCAACGAAAAAAATCTCAAAAATTCTAATTTATAGGAAAATCAAATACGAATACAAACCTTCGCTCCACTTGCAATCATTTCAACGAGAACCAGCAAATAAAGTGCTACCAAATCCATCTGCATGTGACCGTACAAGTTTTCATTAGGGCGATTTAAACCCATTCCAGTTTGCAGATCGAATCTAGCACGGAGTGCGTGTTCCGCCGAGTTGTTGGATTTGAAGGCATTCAGCTGCAAAAGATAATAATTACTGAGGATTTGAAGGAGGAAGCCAAAAAAAAACCAACGCTTTCGCTCTCCTGCATCCAACAGAATAAAATACCACGCATAGTTTTTACCGCGGATTGTCGAAGTTCCGTTTGACGCCCACGTTCATCATCTAGTCTTCTGAATATTGGCATGGATAACTTGTTACTGATACGAAACATTGGAAAATCTAGAAAGCAACATAAAATCAAATGTATAGATACTTCCGATAGGCACGCAGTACGTTGAAAGAATTTCAGGGTAAACAAATTAGCAATGCATTACACATTACCACAACTTAACGTAAGAGGATGCGTGTGGCAGGCTCCGACGGGCAAAAGTCCCAGCCTCTCACCACAACCGCAGCGGGACCTCACAGAATATAGCCCCATATGAGAACAGTATCCATAAAATGGTAAAGCTTTGGGCGACGAATAATCCCTTTATGGGAGCATCACGCTTTCTACTTCCACTCAGATCGTATTTGAATGCAGCGCGGCCAACAAGACTTACGGGGGCCAGCCAATGGACAAATAAAGTTTTTATCCACCCGGACATCCGGTACCAATTGATGGACCCCAGAGGTATAGTAGGCTGGATGATCGCACGAGATTCGATCCCTGAAGTTTGACCCCGGTGCTGTGCCCTGGTGTGGGCAATTCCGCCATTTACCACCACATCACCTCCGAAGGAAGTTATGAAGTTTAGAAACGCAGCGGTAATAGTCCAAACTGAAACGAAAAGTTGTGGTATCGACTTATTTTATCTTATTTCCCTCCTGGGAGCGGTGATCGATACTCAGACTCAGAGTTCCAAGGCGAATGTAACGGTATACACCCTACTGCGAATGGCTGGGATAACCTATTCACCAGTTGATAGAGCTCAGGACCGCCTTGAGCGTGAACTGACTATGCGTTGCATCGGTCAAAGCAATGACCGCCGTTACACACGGCGACGGACAAGCGATGGAGCGATCGCGATCGCTCCATCGTTTGTCCGTCACCGAGTGTGACGTCGGTCGAAGGAAAAATATCAATGACCTTGTCTGGCATTCAAAATCTCTTCTGATAAGGGTGTGGCCAACGTAAACCGCTTCCAACTCGAACCATATCTTGACCCCGAAAGTATGGTGTGAAAATCAGACTGCCGATAGTTATAACTGCAATTTAGAAATTTCTCAATAGGTAGTTTTCCTACCAAGAAATAATTGTATGATGTTGCGATGTATTTTTCTCCGAATGCTTTCAAAAATGCGACGAAAAAAAAATAGCGCACTACGGATTGGTCTCAGCCCTCTTCTTAGGTCTAATTTTTGTTTTACATTTTATATTACTCCTTATTTCGTCTTTCGCTCCATTTCTGTAGCTCTTTCCTTTGCTACCTTTTTTTGTGTTTTGACTGTGTTGGCATTTCACTTGGAGCATCAAATTTCACGCATACCTTCATGCACAATTACTCATAAAGATAATGGTAACGAAAAAGAAAATAAATTATGGAAAAAACGGATCTTGAGAGAGCATATCACCCACTTGTATGCAAGTGAACAGGCCCAGCTTGCAAGCGCACAGTAAATACTGTCCTTGACATAGCCAACATCACGATCTCTCGAATACCTTGGAAATAAACCCGTCGTCACACTTTGATATTCGAGTACCAAATCCTGAGCTAAAAAGGCAATTTAACAGAAGATAAAGATATCCTCCATCATAAATGACTTACTCATGCTATAAATGTGGTCTATCTTAGAATCAATGGTACTTTGTAAGGCCTTAGTTTGTTGAAACGGAGTGAGGTAGGCCTGAGTCAGACGACGAAGCTTAAGGTTACCTGGATTCACCCTCCTTCGGCTGGCTAGTGTCATACCTGCAATCAATCTACACGACAGTTCAATGAAATTAATGACTTCTTAATTGAATAGAGAGGTAATGAACAGAAACCATTCAGAAACTACGAATAACTTATTCGAATGAGTCCACCAAGGCGATGTTTAGAGATGCCCGCTTACGCGAAAAAACGCATAGGCGATAAAATGTGTATATATATCGACTGAGCGAAGACGCACAGAATCGTGAAGTGGGAGGATCGACGAAAATGAGTATCATACGCATCGACTTCCGAACTTCGCTCACGCGATTTTCCGCCTGTGCGTTTCTCACAGTCGATACATATCAAACTCTTGACTGAAATTCGCCTGCTCCGGACGTTTCGCTTACGCGTTTCCCAATTTCTCAGTCGATGCGTATCTAAATCTTGGCGGAGATTTTTTATTTCGCCTGTGCGTTTTTTCGCGTAAGCGGGCATCTCTGAACAAGGCCTAAGTGCGGCAGAACTGAAATTCCCGAGAACTTTTTTGCGAGTGCTGTGACGGCGTAAAACTGATCCGTGGCGATGCTACTACAAGCTTCGAGGATTTGTCTCCGAAATAGTATCTCTGCTCCAATCAGTAGGTCGATTTCCGTTGTCAAGAATAGAGCGAACGCCCAGAGACAAAACTTTTGGACCCATTCTCCCGTCCGTCACATGCGCATGCGTTCATTGGCGGTGTCGTATAGTATAATGTGTCGTCTGCATGCGCAGACAATGTCATCGTGATGTGATGTGCAATTCGAAATCTCTCCTTGAATGTCGAGGGTCTTCGTGGTTTTGGGGCTTTGTATTGTTTATGAAAGTTCCGTTTCTTCGTGGGCGCCATTTTGAGGCGGTATGAAGTGGAGGGGGTGCATAATCCATGCAGGTTACCGTAATCCGAATTTCCGCATAGGGCGCATTTATATATCTCGCCCTGCTGATCACTTACATACCATGCAAAGCAAACTCCAAGGAGTGGGATTATGCGAATGGCTCGGGTTAATACTCTGTTACTCTATCATACGCATCTCATGATACTCTTCGATTCCTCTCTACACGTGCTACTCACTCCCCCACAATAGTCGGCGTCCGATCGTAACGACCATAACGATTACAGCCCGTAACATTGTTTATGAAAAAGCTCACTTTTGACTAACTGTTTAGAGAAGAGGGGCTCCGAGGTGCGTAAGCAATTCTCATTCTTCTCCTCGGAGTTCGTTCTTGGGCTAACATAACTATTAGTGGTATCCCACTTACTGCCCCCCCCCGAGGCGTGTGGCACGCCCAATTCCCTTGTGCGAAAAAAAAACTTAGTGAGCTTTACGTTCTTTAAACGTTCATAATAAAGGAAAATGCTGGATTTCAAATGTTCTTGCAATTGCTTCGGGTGTTCAATGCGCCAAGCCTCTTCATCCCACCTTCCCGATTTGAGATGGCATCCACTCTTCATCACTGTTATTCTCTATATTGCTAACGATACGCTCGGTTCCAATTTGGATCATTGTAAAGAGGCAAAGGGAATATGGTGCGAATATTGCCTCAAATAATTCAGTTTTTGAAGGGGAAGCCCGGGGCGGGCGTAAAAGGAGAAACGAAAGGGTCACGCATCTCGCGGATTCCCTCCTCTTGCAAAATTGAAATTTCTGTGGGCTAGCAACTGTCGCACCACATACCCCCACTGTATGAGACCCCAGTCTTGTCTTTAGTTGTGCTCTGCACTAGATGTTGTTCCTTGACAGTCGTTTTCATGAAAAATTTTTGTTGAAGGAATGGACCTTCTGAGTACACTCAAGGAGGAGATGGCTAGAAAGCGCAAACAAATAGCAGAACTTGAAGTGAAAGTGAGTTTCACAGGTTTTTTAGAGAAGTTTTGTTTCGTTACAAGGTCTCAAGTCCGCATACTGGGGCGCAGTCAAAGCTTTGGATGTCGAGTTTGCTGGGAATAGCTAAATCAACATCATTTAATCGCTACGCTTCTAGAACTTGCAATTTTGGCTCTAAAACCGGATATCTATAGGAAAGGGGTCGTATTGGAACGCTCGCGAATCGAACAGAATCGCTCGCGCGGAGATTCCCTTGAAGTGATTCCACCTTGGTGAGGGTTTCGCGCTGAACGCACGTTATCGAAGAGGCAACTTCCGTAGATCGACCGATACGTGTTCATTTCTCATGCGAACTGCAAGCGGAATGGAAGGGATCGAAGAACTATAATGCAGTTGAATGATATCAGGTGTTTTCCGAAAGCTGCTGGACCTGTATGGGTGGAAAAAGACTAGGGTTTTCACCGTTTTAATGAGGTGACATTCGGGTGCCCCAGTGGAAATATGTAGTTCTCGTCTTAGAAAGATGTGGGGAATGAGAATCTTGAAAGTAGGTCCATGTTTCGCCTTGTGATAGAGCGGACCTAAACGTTGCAAAAGTGCGTAAAGTCGTCGTTGAAGACACTGTCTAAGAGGCGTTGTTCCGATCCTTGTCTCCTTTTTTTACACACTCACTGATCCATTTCTGTGTCTGTTCACTTTGCAAAAAAGTACAATGAAAGCTCAACTGGTGATGTGCCATGCACGCGAGGTGTCTAAACCTTATTCTTTAGTGGTGTATGTGGCACTGCATGAGATATCATGGTGGTCCATTTCGCCTCGAACTAACCTCTATTCCCTTTCATGGTTTGGGTTGTGATCAAATGAATGTGACACTGATTTCGCTTGAGAAAGAAACAATTCCTTTGAAAGTCGGCCTTGGTAAGACGTAGACACAGCGCTGCATGGAGAGGAAAACCGCGAAAGAGCACGTTGTGCACGAAAGTGCGCAGGCGCCACGTATACTGCAAGTGGCAAGGATGGTAGCAGTTGTAGTGGTGAATGTAAGGGGCAGCGCCCTTGTGGCGCACATTCAAGTCGCGACAGCGCACTATCCTCGTGCCCAGCTACCGTGACACCTCACCCACTGAAAGGACTCCTTTGGGATCGATCGCGACCCGTGCCTTTAACTCTAGCTAAAGCTTTGCAGTGGGATTGGGTTATGACTGAAAATTGCTCGAGCTAATATAAGAGTGAGTGTAAAAATATAAATACTTCACTCATATCAGTTAGCGGTACATATTGATCGGAAAAGTTCCAGGTCGACGGCAAAAAGTTTATTAGAGGAGCTGATTTGGTTGCCAAACAAGAGGAAGAATATCGAGAAAAACAAAAACTCAAGCAAGCTGCTCATCAAGAACCTAAAGAGGTTTATCATTTTGCCTTTTTCTGGGTCATGAGGCTTCCCTACTTTCTTCATGATTGGGGCGCGGCCGCGGCGAGTTACCGACGAGTTGGTAATGCCCGCGAACTGTGCGCACCAGATTTCAAGTAGTCCGTCGACCCCATCAACTCGGCCGCGCCCCAAATCGTGAAGAAAGTGGGGGAGCCGGGTCATGCAGCACTAGTGATATTTTCTAGGAAGTGAACAACGCAGCGGAAGAGTCAGTCGAAGGAGACCCCCATTTCAAAGCAGTCCCTGATGAAATACCTTTGCACGAAGTTCACAAAAGGTTGAGAGACCGTGGGCAGCCAATACTTCTGTTTGGTTAGTAAATTATTTGTGAGTGATTTTGTTGCATGAATATTACGTAAATTTACTAGAGCATAAATTCAAATTGTCTTAAGGGGAGGACGAGTCACAAGTTCGAGCTCGACTGCTTAAGCTGGAAATTGAACAACCAGACATGAAGGAAGGTTGGAAAAACGAAATGCAGACGGCTATGCGGGATGTTGACGAAGAGCTTGTGAAGGTTTGTCATCCTACATCACATTATAACAAGCGCTGCAAAATTAACGTTGCAGGAAGTGATCGAAGGCTCCTCCAATGATCCGAACAAGCATGACGTTGATCTTTCGTCGTCATTTAACGACAACTGGGAAAAGATTGAGGAGCAAGCAACCTTATTGGGTCTCGGTAAGTGTAGGTGCTGAATGCTCTGGCTTTTATATATTTCTCCAACGGATTTCATATTTTCAGCTTCGCAGTTCACGTTTCTTTTTAGATTTTTTTATAGTTTCCATTTAGTTCCACTTAGCTTCTGCTCAATTTTTACGTTATAGCATGTAGTCATGCACCGGCTTCGCAATTCTTTTTTTTTCTTTTATTGTTCGAATACTCGATCACTGTATCGTTGCAACTGGTTATCTTGATGTTATTAATCGTTTAAATTTTCTTAGGGAACGATCCTCATCGAGATTGTGACATAATTTTGTCATTCTTCAAGTATTTGATAACTCGATGGGGAATGGAGTTGAATCGAAGAGATGACGAAGAAAAGAAAAGTCCAGAAGGTCTGTTTTCGTTCATAGTTTCCTGTTGTGGTCTTATCTCCATTCCGGTTCCGGACAAGGGTGGTGTAGCTTACACGCGCTTGTCCGTATCGAATCCCGTTCCGACTAAAGAAGCCGTCACCCCTTTGTGGGTTCGCTAATTACCTTCCAAACTTATCTGGAGGATAAAGATTCTCTTTACGTATTGGCGCTCACGCAGTTCATTAATTCGGGACAAATCAAGTCAAATGCCATACAATTATGAGGGCCTAGTAGAACGCTTGGTGCGTTTCTTGAAGGGACAAGACCGGATGTTTTTACTCTCATGCTACATTTTCCGCCCTTGATGGTTTATGTCTTGATTGTTTTACAGAAGAATCTAAAATTTTAGACTTTTTTGAAGGTTAATCCCTTCGTGAATTGCTAAACTCATTGCATTCTCTTTCTTTCTAGGTAAATTGCAAGCAAGCATCCACAAGCAGACAGTGATGAATTTGAGGCCGTTACTGAATTCGTTGGAGAATCACTCATGTAATAACGATATTCGGCATCACTTGACCAACATTTGCAGGTACATTGCGCATGCACATATTGTTAAGCTCATTGAGCTGCTAATCCATTCCCAGCTTGATTTGCCTGGGGATCCGTTATGCGGATTTTTTTTGACAGAATTTGTAAACCGCTTTTATGTAATAAGCATACAAACATACGTGGCTTCAAG